TCTCTCTCTCTCTCTCTCTCCCCCCCCCCTCCCCCACCACATGAGTATGTCGACTATGTGTTCATTGTTAGAAAACACTTGGATATCATGTGGCACACATATTTGCTTCCTAATGCAATTATTTATGTCCAGGGTGTCTCCATTGAAAATTTAGAAGCTGGTTCTGATGGGCGTGTAGCTGCTGTTAAACTCGGAAATGGATCCACCATAGATGCAGACACGGTAATGTATTGCTAGTATTGTGCATTTCTTTTCGCTTGATCAATTTCAAAACTTACAAGTCCTTCATATTCAGTTTTTTCTCTCCATTGTGCAGCCTAAACCTGCAAAATCAAACCCAATATCATAACTTTGTCTCAGCATTTTCTTTTTCTTTTTACATGTGCAGATTATTATCGGTATTGGAGCAAAACCTGCTGTCAGTCCCTTTGAAAGTGTTGGCTTAAATACCACTGTTGGTGGAATACAGGTTAGCACTATGCTCAACTGTTTCTTTTTTCACCAATTCAAAGCACAATACATGAAACAATGCTACTTTTACAGTTATATTGTGCTTCACTATGTTATTAAGGACCAAGCATTCTCAATGCATGGTAGTGACTTTTGTTTCTTTTACTTTTAGGAAGATCCTGTAGGACCTGTACTTGCTAGAAGTGACCATATGACGTGATGTGGGTTAAGATTACAATTTGATGCCTTGATAAACTTGAAATCTATTGAGTTCGGTATTGCATCTTCACTGCAAAAATCAAGTCTGGTTATGATATTAATTTTGGAACTGATTTGTTGCTGCACAAAATTTATGAAAACAGGAAATCTTTCACAACTGAAGTATAATTCAAAATAATGGTTGGTGACACTAATTTAAATAGGATGCTTGTTCCATCTCACCATTTATTTTATTGATAAAAATGTATGTTGTTCAACCTTTGAAATTCAGGTTGATGGTCAGTTCCGAACAAGCATTCCTGGAATTTTTGCCATTGGAGATGTGGCAGCTTTCCCGTTAAAGGTATGCTTGATTAAATCTTCCTTCTTTTCTGCGGTTGTAAAATATTACCATATCTTGTACATACTCAACAGATGTACAACCGGATTGCACGAGTTGAACATGTTGACCATGCTCGACGATCGGCCCAGCATTGCATTAAAGCATTACTTAGTTCACAAACTCACACGTATGTTGGATTCTCCTCAGTTAGAAACTTATTTTCATAATCTTGATTCATTATCGGCGTATATTTCCTTGTGCAATACCTTGATGATTGCATTGCTGCATGATGTCCAGATATGACTATCTCCCATATTTTTATTCGAGGGTCTTTGAATATGAAGGAAGCCCAAGGAAAGTTTGGTGGCAGTTTTTCGGAGACAATGGTCAGGATCTATATTTCTTGCCTTCTGCATTACAAATTACAATCAAGGTTTCTGTCGATCAAGTTTTATGATGCATATTATGCTATGTTTGCTACTGACTTGTTTTTCCTAATGAGCAGTTGGGGAGACTATTGAAATCGGGAATTTTGATCCGAAGATAACTACTTTCTGGATGGACGCTGGTAATATTATCTGTTGTAGATTTCTTTTATGTGCCTGTGTTGGCTAGGAGGCGAGGGTTTGGTTTGCTCATGTCCACAACAGTAGAAAAGGACTAATATACGCTTGCTTTGCTGCAGGTAAACTGAAGGGGGTTCTTCTTGAAAGTGGAAGCCCTGAGGTATTTGTTGTCCCCATAACTCTTTAGGTCAAAAATGGATAAAAGTTGTTATCGTAGGGAGCGGACATATTAATGTGGCATGGAGTTTAAGTTTGGCATTGTTATAAGAGAAAGAAATATATATTTCAAATGGAATAGCAGGATATTTGAAAAAGTTTGTTTGGAGGTTAACAAGAGCTGTGTTATTAATTCTTCATGTTCACAAGTTGCATAAAAGCTCTGTTTGCTCCACTAGTACAAAAAATAAAATTTTGAAACCTTTGAATAGCTGAGTTGGACTGTTATAATTGATGATTACCTTTCTTCTACTTCAATGGTCTGTTGGAGGGAAAAATAAATAAGGATGCAGGAAAGCAGCAGCAAATGTTTTAATTAGAGTTCTTTCAACCGTATTTTGCAATAAACTGACACTTGCTGAGAGTACTTGCTTGTAGTTTGTATACAAACTATACTGATGACAACTTTTTTTTGGTTTTAGGAATTTCAACTCCTTCCCAAACTTGCGAGGAGCCAGCCTTTTCTTGATAAAGCTAAACTTAAGAATGCAACTTCAGTTGAGGAGGCACTAGAAGTTGCCCGAGCTGCCTTACAGGATGAAGCTGCAGTTTAGTTCAGGATTACATAAATGAATGTTGCATAGCAAGCTTGGTACAAACTTCCATCTTTTTGTACCTAAATCTTTTCTAGTTCTCACCCAACCTCTTCCTGCAACACAATCGAATCATGTGTATTAAGAGCGTGAGAGAGAGAGAGATGCATCTGGCAGCAGTTTAGCAGATGTGATAATAATTCTTGACCAATAAAATGCGTGTTTGAGATTTTCTTCATGGTGCATTTGGATGTCCCTCCATTCCTGCACATTGTATTACTCTAGTGTATATACTTGTAAATAATGATGTCCGGTTGCATATGTATTAAAAGATACAAAGGGAGAGAATCTACATACATGGAATGAATATGAAATAGCCAAGGAGGGATGTGAGTGTACACTTCAGTGAGGGTGTAATTTGGGCGGGTTAACCCAAAGACAGCTTGAAAATAATACAGTTTGGGTGGAAGTTTTTAAAATTTGTTTTGTGCTTGGGTTAGAAAATTTCAACCCGAATTATATTTGGGTTGTATTTGAGTTCACGACTTTAACCTGAATCCTGGTCCAAATTATTAAAATTGGATTTAGCCAGACACATAAAATTTTAAATATATTTTAGATTTTTATTGAATTTAAGTTAATCAGATAAATGTGTCATGCCCAAAATTAAACCCGAATTACAAGCTCGAATTTAACCCAAATTACGAGCTTAATTTGAGCCTAAATTAGTTAAACTTACTCAACTCGAATTGAGCCCAAAACTAAATTGGGCAATACTCGGGTTAAGTATATTGGGTTGAAAGTCGGCCTCAAATTAAATTAGGGTTAATTACAAACTTGAATTTGACTTGAGTTGATTCTTTAACCCATCCAACCAGTCCCAGTTGCAGCGGTAACACTTAGCCTTTGATGAGACTCAAAATTGGAAAGGCTTGTATGACCACCCGGATAAAGGGAAAGCCTTTTCAAACACCAGAAAAATTCGCATTAATTTTAAAAACCAAAATATAAAAAAATTGTACTATCTTACCTGCCGAGGAGTTAGAAATTTCGAAAGAAAGTCAAATCGAATATATTAATAATAAATTTTTAAAAATAACATAAAACTAATGGGATGAAAATTAAGGTCATGTTTGGTTATCATCTCGGAAACAATTTTTTGTTCTCAAAATTTTAAAAACATCCAAAATCTGTTTGTTTTGTATTTTTGTTATCTAAATTTTGAGAAAAAAAATGAGATTTGAGTAAAAAAAACAGAAAACAAGTATACCTTGTGTTTCAGAGTTTTCTTTGAAAATTTTAGAAATAAGGATAACAATATATATATATATATATATATATATATATATATATATATATAAACAAATAAATATGTATGTGTATATATATAAATTCGTATATATACATATATATAAATAAATATATATATATAAAAACAAATAAATATGTATGTGTATATATATACACTTATATATAAATTCGTATATATACATATATATAAATAAATATGTATATATAAAAACATATATATATTAATTTATTTATATATATGTATATATACGAATTTATAGTATATACTTGTATATAAATTCGTATATATAAGTATATACTATATATATAAATATTTATTTATATATATGTAGTATATTATATATATATATATATGTATATATATATACATACATATAAATAAATTAATATATATATATACACACACAATAAATAAATAATATATATATTATATTTATGTATAAAAACATACATATATACTGTGTGTATATATTATATAATATATATAAATAAATATATATATTTTAAAGTTTGATTTATTGAATTTTTTTTTTATGAAATTGTCAATCTAAAAATAATTTTTTTATATTTTTGATTAATGTTTGAATTACTGTTCAAATATATATTTAGGTTGTCCAAATAAGTTTTACTATTTTCTATATTGTAAAATTGTTTTTGAAATCATCTAACCAAACAAGTTTTTTATGTCAAAAAATATCAAAATCACTTTCTTAAAACTGTTCTCAAAAACTGTTTTCGAATACTAGTTTTTCAAACGCAAACCAAACAGACCCTAATATTTCCCCGGCTACAATCAGAGCTGCAAGTTTCTGAAATATATCATAAACACACTTTTTTTATAATTAATTTTCACTACAATTCGGCCCGAATGTAGTCCCCAATTTAATATGACTAGGTCAATAAATTAAATACAAATGGTATTGTTCATTATGACACATCGCTAATCCAACTATTTTAATAAATTAAACTAATTAATAAATATAATCAACAAAGTAAATTAAAATAAACATTACTCATCCCATTTTACCCTCCGCAGTCGGCAGTCTCTATGATTGCCCAACTTTAGTAATGTGCATTTACGAGCAATTTAGCCTTGGCTTCGAGCCAAAAGACACTGGCAACCATTCACAACGATGAATCCAAGTTCCAAATCTTCGAGTAAGTAACCGAAAATGGCCAAACTTGAATTGACCCATCAAGGAAAGATTATGTTCTTTTTTTTTTTTTGGTTGGTTGAAGGATGGGGAGTATTTGAATTTAGTTTGTGTATACTTAGATTAATTCCTACTCTGAAATTAGAGTATTCATGAGAGATAAATTTTTTATAATTTAATTTTAAAAAATTATTAAAATTCAAATTTAAAACATTTAATTTTAAGTTTATTCCTGTTACCACTTGAGCGGTCCCTGGATTAATTTATAGATTTTTGGGTTTTGATTACCAAAGAATAGAGACTTTACAAATAAAACCCGAGGATTGGCCTTCCATTGCTGTCACTTTATTTATGTAAGATTATAATTATCTACCTTTCTAATGTGCCTATGATGTAACACCAGGCGAACATTATTTGGACTCTTAGAATATGGCGCGCTTGAGATTTTCTATTTGATTGTTTCAAAAGGTCCAATGAATTGGAATTTTTTTATTGGTTCATTTCATTTCAAGACAAGTGTATCATTTATGACGAAAATAACGAACTTCAAGAAAATAATTCGGAGTTAGAACTATGCAATACCTGACACGAGATAAATCTTCCAAAAAAAACAATACTTTTTACGAATTAGTCAATACGTTTGGGACCTGCAAATCCACTCTTTCTCCTTTTTAAAGATCAGCCCCGGTTAAAAGTAACATTACGTTCAACGTTCAACCTTTAGACGCAAAGAGTACTTAGTTCCTTCTTATAGACGGTCTCTCTCTCTCCAAGTTTCTCTTTTTGTCATTAGGTGGAATCCACATAGGCCTTCCCTCCCTTGTTCGAATTCTCCACCTGCTCTGCCTAGTTCTTCTTTTTGGTCTTATATGCATTGCCCATAGATATAAACAGTCCGAATCACCATTTCTGCGGTTTCTTAATGATTTCTTATCTCTCTTCAAATCCGGGTCAGAAGCCTGAAGTCAAGTAAAATGAAGGTAAAATTTCCGATGCTTTTTGATAAACTAATAAAACCATGATCGTTGATGGGTTTCATTTTGTTTTNGTTAGTTCCATCTTATAGACGGTCTCTCTCTCTCTCCAAGTTTCTCCTTTTGTCATTAGGTGGAATCCACATAGGCCTTCCCTCCCTTGTTCGAATTCTCCACCTGCTCTGCCTAGTTCTTCTTTTTGGTCTTATATGCATTGCCCATAGATATAAACAGTCCGAATCACCATTTCTGCGGTTTCTTAATGATTTCTTATCTCTCTTCAAATCCGGGTCAGAAGCCTGAAGTCAAGTAAAATGAAGGTAAAATTTCCGATGCTTTTTGATAAACTAATAAAACCATGATCGTTGATGGGTTTCATTTTGTTTTCCATCTACATTGTCACATCGACCAAACCATATCTTTTGGGGGATTTTTTAAACTTAAAATTTTGGGAAGTTCTTGTTTGTGGGTTTTGTAGTTTCGATTGCATAGTTCAGATTTTTAAGGAGAATCAAGGGAGCTAGTGAAAATTACACCCTCATTTTGTTAGGAAGCATGAATCTTTCTCTGCTGTGCACTTCTTTCATGAACTCTGGTCTGATGAAGATTAGATTGTCATTTAGTAAAACTATGTTGGGCTCTGTTTAATACTTGCATGTCAATTACATGTATTCATGGCGGATCCGGTGCTATTTATTAAAACAACGCCGCTCTATTTAACAAAATAACGCCGTTGCGTTTTAGTGCAAACGACGCTATTTTAATCAACACCACCTCTGCGTTGATTTTCTAACCGCTTATATCCCTTGGGAGCTTGCTGTGCTTTGTGTGTACCATCTGGGAGCTTGAGTGGGCCCCTACTCTTTTTGTTTCCTTTGGTTGAATCAGAATCTTTTCAGAAGTCCAGTTCTTTTTGAAGCAATAAAAGAAAGTTTGTCTTTTGGTTTGATTATATTGTGAAAATTATTGGGTTGTTAGTCTTTTTGGCATAGGAGTAACTGTTATTGGGCTTTATTGTTGCAGAAAGTGGTGCTGAAGTTAGATCTACATGATGGTAAAGAAAAACAAAAGGCCATGAAGACAGTGTGTAGCCTTTCAGGTAATTAGTTCAATTGGTTGACACACACATGCAACTATTAATTAGTTTATTGATCTGATTTCACTTGGCCTCTATTTTGTTTAGGAATTGAATCAATTTCTATAGACATGAAGGAGAAGAAATTAATNGATCCGGTGCTATTTATTAAAACAACGCCGCTCTATTTAACAAAATAACGCCGTTGCGTTTTAGTGCAAACGACGCTATTTTAATCAACACCACCTCTGCGTTGATTTTCTAACCGCTTATATCCCTTGGGAGCTTGCTGTGCTTTGTGTGTACCATCTGGGAGCTTGAGTGGGCCCCTACTCTTTTTGTTTCCTTTGGTTGAATCAGAATCTTTTCAGAAGTCCAGTTCTTTTTGAAGCAATAAAAGAAAGTTTGTCTTTTGGTTTGATTATATTGTGAAAATTATTGGGTTGTTAGTCTTTTTGGCATAGGAGTAACTGTTATTGGGCTTTATTGTTGCAGAAAGTGGTGCTGAAGTTAGATCTACATGATGGTAAAGAAAAACAAAAGGCCATGAAGACAGTGTGTAGCCTTTCAGGTAATTAGTTCAATTGGTTGACACACACATGCAACTATTAATTAGTTTATTGATCTGATTTCACTTGGCCTCTATTTTGTTTAGGAATTGAATCAATTTCTATAGACATGAAGGAGAAGAAATTAACTGTGGTCGGCGATATTGATCCAATTCAGGTTGTTAGCAAACTGAGAAAATTGTGGCACACAGATATATTAACAGTTGGGCCAAAGGAAGCCGAAAAGAAGAAGGACGATGGAAAGAAAGACGAAGGTAAGAAGGATGAGGGAAAGAAAGATGATGATAAAAAGAAGGATCAAAATGAACAGATTGCAGACCTTGTGAAGGCCTACAGAGCTTACAATCCTTGCATGACACAGCATTACTATGTTTACAGTGCAGAGGAGAACCCAAATGCTTGTGTTATCTCTTAATTACTAAAAAAAAAAACAGAGGATTTAAGAGATTTGTATTCATTGATGGTGGATCTTAATCATGTTGAAGAACCAAATTGAGACAATAAAAAGGAAGGTTCAATTTACAGATGATGGTGGTTTTGGATGATTGATCCTTGTTAGTGTTACAGGCTACAGCAGATAAGGTGTATATACACTATCCCATGGAATAAATGTTTGGAACTCAATGAGGATATTAACTTTATTTTTGATGAAAGATTGACAAATATTCATGGAAAAAAATTGTATGAACGCGTTTTTAAATAAATGTTTTGGATGATTAATCTTTCATGTGTCTTTCAAATCTAAAGTGCTGACTTGATTTGTTAGGATCTACTATCAATAATTCAATGACTCTGATTAATTCAAATCAATGATGCTGCTTAAAATTTCCAAGTTTGGCACTATCAAAGAAGCATCCCCCCCCCAACCCATTTTTCATGTTATGTTATTTGACTGCGACATACTACGCCAACAACAACCCAATAGATTTTCCAGGAGAAACTTCAACAATGCCAGCAAAATCACCTCAATGACAAGATTAAGTTGATTATTTACATATCAATTCGTGGTTCAAATGAAGCTACTACGCCTTTTTGAATTGTGTCCGATTGGAAAATCAGAGGTCCATTGAATTGTACGCACTTGTTTTTTCTGCTTTATTTCTTGGAAAACCTGTCTAAAGGACCTTCTTTCCACAAGTAATGGTCGTTGTTTGGCTCAGTCTTGACCAACTCATCAGTTTACGGTTTCGAATTTTTTTTTTTTAATATTTTTACATATCAAGTTAAAATCTTTTAAAGATTAAGTTATAATTATTTGAGATAATTCATGATCGAACATTAATACCTCCACAATTAATTAAAAGGGATTCTTTGACCTTTAAAAATTGTAAATTCTTAATACCTTTTACACATTGGATGCCAAAAAAAAAAAGAAAAGAAAAGAAAAGAAAAATTTAGTAATCACCACTCGGCAGATCGTCCACTCTTCACTTTTCCTTTAGATTGTGGTTCATCCTTCTTGTTGATCATTGCCGGTTCGCTCATGTACTTGAGTCAATATAACTTGCACGAGATTCAACAATCAAAACTACTAATAGTCTTGAGGGGACGTCATCCTCCGATAATTGTTAGCAGTATTGTTTCACTTTGAAAATTCAAACCTCAAGAACTCTACAGATCTCAGTGCGAAATCTTCTGCTTGCAACTCTGATCCTGAACCTCCTGGCTTCTGATATTAACTGTCATGGTGCAATTCATTTCCACAACAACATTTCTCTTAATGATCTTTAGTATCTTCACACGGCCACCGATACTTGTATAGCTGCTCACTGGCAATAGCCCTGAAACCAGATCACCGCTGAGCCGCGGCACCGCCAGTATCCTCCCAAGCATAACGTCTACTGTAACATTCATTCGAATTGTCCGTCCAGCACTGGCATGCCCTGGCGGAGTCCGAGCCTCACCGACAACCTTACCATCATAGTAAAGACTTGTTGTGACATTATTGAATTTGAAGGAAGCAACATTAGGATTCTTCACAGAAACATCGGCCAAAACCGTCAAGTTGGTACCTGAGGGAAGATTAGTCATGTTTACAACATCCAATCCTTCCATCTTCATTGAATTTATCTTCATCACCGGGTTTTTGACCCGAAAAACGGTGAAAACAAGAACCAATATGATCACTGCCTGAATTAGCATAAGCGCGGTGATGCAGCCACAGCATTTGATATATTTCCGGTGGCGGTGGTGGCTCTTCAGTTCCATGGATATGGCGTCGTCTTCATCGACGACGACGACGTTGATCCGGTGGAACGCGGGGGCTAAGGGTCTGACTTGCTCTTTCTCTGCCATGGCTGAAGTTACAGATGGGTGGTCAGTGGTCACAGGCTGGCTGTTCAGTGGTGGTATGTGAAAAGAAGAAGAAAGCTAAGAGGAAGAAAGCTGAGCTTTACATTCCCTTTTTTCTGAGTGGTCCAACGTTATAAAAGAAGGAAGTAACCATGGAGTCTTGTAGTTTGTCCTAATTCTAAACGCGTTTACTCGGCTTTGAATAATGACTAATGACTTCAGACTTTTGTGCAAGAAGCTTCCTAAACGTTTACGAAGAAACTATGAAGGCTTTAATTACATCCGTCTCCAAAGAATATAATTTATTTTATTTTGATTTTTAATATTTTAATATATTATTTTAATTTCTGAGTATATTTTTATATAATCCTTCAAGAAGATAACGTTTAGACTGAGATTGCTAGCTAATGTGTTTTGATTATAAACTTATCACATAATACTTAAATATAGGTAAAAAAATAATTTAAATAACTCTTAACCAATTTTTTATTCAAAAATTGGTGAAAAAGTTACCCAAATTATACAGTTTTAAACATGAGCTATTTAAATTTTAGTTAATGGTTACTCATATTACATATTTTTAGTCAAGAGCTATCCAAATTTTAATTGAAAACTACTAAAATTATTTTTTGTGTATATTTAAGTATCACATGATAAGTTTATGATTAAAAAACGTTGGCAAATTAGATGTTGTCTATAGAGGGATCACACAGAAACATATTCAATATTTTAAGGATCAAAATCATGCAATTAAAATATTAAGAATCAAAATGAGATAAATTTTATACTTTAGAGTGTAATTAACCCAAAGTATGAAACTAGATACCTATATTAAATGCTAAGCTATACCGGTCGTGCAACTCACGCAAACATGTTAAAATAATATTTTTTTAAAAAAAATTAATTATAATATAATTAAATTAAATAATTATTACTAAATTTAATTATTAATTTATTTTTCCCCTTTTAGGTTACATAATCTATCTTTTTTTAAGTATTTCTTTGGCTTTTTTAGACATTTCAAAGAAAGTAATATGCGGGTATTATTAATTTTATAATAATAATTAAGAAAAAAAAATAGAAAATCAAATTTTTTTATAGATGTTGATATTTATAAATAGTATAGATTAGCGCATTTTCGATCCTTACCATTTTTAGACTTAAATTTAAATTAGGGTAAAAAGATACCCGTGCTAACCAACCCAAGTCTAAATGTCTTCTGGCTCAGGGTAAGTCTTTTCAGACGTTTAAAGGGTGGTTCATTTTTCAGATGCAACCTGAGGTCGAATCTCCGGTCATACAGTAGTTCTCTTTTCTTTCTCTCGTTTTCCTAATGCTCCGTTTGGTACGATGAAAAAATGGAAGGATGAAAAGTTGAAAGGATAAATAAAACATCATGTTTGGTAAGGAAGGAAAGATAGAAAAATAGATGAGTTAATTTTTATTCCAACTCACCAAAATCAATACCTCCAAAATTGAAAGGAAAGTTGATGAAAAGTTAATTATTTGTGTTGAGATATATCTTATTTGCTTATATATCTTTTTATATATACATTAATTTTATATAAAAATACAATTGTAAAATATGTGTATATATATATATATATTTAAACAAAAATTAAAATAAAAAATAAAATTTTAAATTTTAAATTTTAAATTTTAAATTTTAAATTAAAAAAAAATTTCATTTTAACTAAGGGTGAAAATTTTCGACTCAACACGATGATACGACTCGAACTCGATACAAAAATAAACAGGTCAACTTGCAACTTGACACGACACAATTAGTTAAATGAATTAAGTTAGGTTTCACTAGTATTTGATATAAACTCGTAATGACTCAACACGAATCTGATACGATGCGATTTGATTGTCATCTCTAATCTTAGCCAACAAAAAAAAAAAAAAATAGTCATTTTTATTTTCCATCCATCCAACCAAACACAAAGAAAAGAAAGTGTATACTTCCGACTTTCATCCTTGAAGGATAGAAAGTGTATCCCTCCTACTTTTCATCCTCCCTACTAAACGGAACATAAGAATAAATTAGACTATCTATGTAATTGGTGAGGTGGGGTATAGGTATAAATAAATGATGGAATTAGGTAATTGGCTCACATCCATTTCTATACAAATTGTATTAATAAGAGTACTATTTGATTCCCTAATTGCTAGGACCGTCTAAGATAAGGATCCTTTAAGTTAATTTTGATGACACAGTATTTAGTACGGAGGGTGCTATTGGGGTGGGTGTGGTATGTTAGAGTATGTGTGGCTCATATTTGCTGTGTGCATAATGGCAAGGAGGCAGATGCCGGAGCGTAGCGGAGTGGAGCCCGCGACGACATCTGCCTTGCGGGATTTGTATAAAGGGGACGTTGATTAGTTGGGGGTGCAGGGGCAACGCCCCCGCGGTACGGTACATGAGTATTTTTGTAAATACGTCCGTATTAGGGTTATATAAATACTTAAGATGTAACCCTATTTTGAATAATGAAAAAGAACGGCCGCTCGCTCTCGTGGATGTAGGCACATTGTCGAACCACGTAAATCTCTGTGTGTTATTTTCTCCTGCTTTCTTAATTGTTTGATTCCTTACTATTCACCATAATTGCTGCACGATCACAACATGGTAATTTGCGATGAAGTCTAAGAGGATAATTACTTTGGGTGAAGCGCAAATTACAGAGACCATTGTTGCAAAGGAAGTTGTGCTTTTTGCTAAACAGATCGGGTGTGATGAGATTGTGCTGAAAGGTGATTCATCTGTGATCATAAAGAGGATGAACGATAATTCTGAAGATTTTTTCTCTCTTTGGCATTATTATTACATATGTTTAACACGTTCTTTTCATATTTATTTTTTCTATATTGTCCACTGTTAGACAATCAGGAAATTATATAGCACACCAATTGGCTAAAAAAATTGGATGTGGTGAAAATATTGATGTTTTGGAAGAGATGACACCAAATTTTTTTGATGTCGTCCGATTTATCTTGTTAATATAATTTCTATTAGTTTCAATTAAAAAAAAAAAGAGTATTATTTGATTCTATCATTTGTGTAACAAGTTTAGATCAAGATTGAGATAAGTTATAAATTTATAATTATAAAATCAAATTTATGTTTATATTAGGTAATAATATATGGTGTTAGATTGAAAATAACAAAAAAAAATATTGAGGGTAAAAGTTTGTATAATGTGTAACTTTTATATGAATGTGTGTATCTAGGTTTGTAAGGATAATAAACTCATTGTGTTTTTAATACTAAACTTGTTAAAAATAATATCACCTACCACATGGTATTCATTAATACTTAATATTAAGTGTTAAATGACAATAATGAAACTGGTCGAGATTAATTAGAAACTAATATTGGATCCCTATAATCCAATCCAAACTTGATATTATATTATCGTCTAATTAAATTAATCTAATCCTCTCTCTTAATACTTAAACCAAACATACCCTAAATAGGGATGAAACTTGGGCAGCCTAACCTAAAAAAATTGAAATTTGGGTTAAGGTTTTTAAAACTTGAGTTGACCTTGGATTAAAATTTTTTAACCCAATTAAATTTAGATAATACTCGAGTTGAGGCTTTGGGATAACAAGTTTAATGGTGTATGTTAACGTGGACGAGTAGAAGGTTGAAATTATACTTTGCAATTTGGGTCTAANTGCAACCTGAGGTCGAATCTCCGGTCATACAGTAGTTCTCTTTTCTTTCTCTCGTTTTCCTAATGCTCCGTTTGGTACGATGAAAAAATGGAAGGATGAAAAGTTGAAAGGATAAATAAAACATCATGTTTGGTAAGGAAGGAAAGATAGAAAAATAGATGAGTTAATTTTTATTCCAACTCACCAAAATCAATACCTCCAAAATTGAAAGGAAAGTTGATGAAAAGTTAATTATTTGTGTTGAGATATATCTTATTTGCTTATATATCTTTTTATATATACATTAATTTTATATAAAAATACAATTGTAAAATATGTGTATATATATATATATATTTAAACAAAAATTAAAATAAAAAATAAAATTTTAAATTTTAAATTTTAAATTTTAAATTTTAAATTAAAAAAAAATTTCATTTTAACTAAGGGTGAAAATTTTCGACTCAACACGATGATACGACTCGAACTCGATACAAAAATAAACAGGTCAACTTGCAACTTGACACGACACAATTAGTTAAATGAATTAAGTTAGGTTTCACTAGTATTTGATATAAACTCGTAATGACTCAACACGAATCTGATACGATGCGATTTGATTGTCATCTCTAATCTTAGCCAACAAAAAAAAAAAAAAATAGTCATTTTTATTTTCCATCCATCCAACCAAACACAAAGAAAAGAAAGTGTATACTTCCGACTTTCATCCTTGAAGGATAGAAAGTGTATCCCTCCTACTTTTCATCCTCCCTACTAAACGGAACATAAGAATAAATTAGACTATCTATGTAATTGGTGAGGTGGGGTATAGGTATAAATAAATGATGGAATTAGGTAATTGGCTCACATCCATTTCTATACAAATTGTATTAATAAGAGTACTATTTGATTCCCTAATTGCTAGGACCGTCTAAGATAAGGATCCTTTAAGTTAATTTTGATGACACAGTATTTAGTACGGAGGGTGCTATTGGGGTGGGTGTGGTATGTTAGAGTATGTGTGGCTCATATTTGCTGTGTGCATAATGGCAAGGAGGCAGATGCCGGAGCGTAGCGGAGTGGAGCCCGCGACGACATCTGCCTTGCGGGATTTGTATAAAGGGGACGTTGATTAGTTGGGGGTGCAGGGGCAACGCCCCCGCGGTACGGTACATGAGTATTTTTGTAAATACGTCCGTATTAGGGTTATATAAATACTTAAGATGTAACCCTATTTTGAATAATGAAAAAGAACGGCCGCTCGCTCTCGTGGATGTAGGCACATTGTCGAACCACGTAAATCTCTGTGTGTTATTTTCTCCTGCTTTCTTAATTGTTTG